CAGGAACTAACTTGGTACAAGAAGACAGCTTAGACCCTCTATGATTTCAGCCCCAACCCAACTAATCAGTATTCCCCATTTTCTAGGCCCTGGCCTACCAAACTATCCTTGAAACACTCTAGCCCATGAATTCTGAGGAAGTGGATTTGAGAATTATCTCCCATCCATCCACTTGCCACTGGCAAGTGATAATCCACTGGCCCTGTGATAAACTCTTTCTTTGCTGCAAAACCTGTTCTCAATGCATTGGCTTTTCTTGGCAGTGAGCAAGAAGAACCCATCAGGCAGTTATAAAAGCAGATACAGAAAACACTAGAAAGGCAGAGAGAGAAAGGAAAATTATGCTGAAAAGTGGAAAAGCTAGTGGTAACAAGGAGAAAGAATACTGGCTGGAGAAGAAGCTAATTCCAAGATGGGGTAAGTAAAGAGGAAGAAGAAAACTAGCATTTATTGAATGTCTACTATATGCCAGTAACTGTCCTAAGATCTTTCAAATATTTTACCTTATTTAATTCTAACAATATTTCTAATAGGAGAGACAAATCTTAGCCCCATTTTATAAAAGCAGACTATGGTATACAAAAAGTTAATGTATACTTGCTCAAGGTCTTGCATCTACTCTACCTACGCATGGTAGTTTTAGGTGAAGGAGCAAAGCCCTTGATTTTTCCACCATACTTCCAATTATTAAACTGGCAAAAGCAGGATATTTCTAAAGGAGAAGGGAGAAAAAAACAATAAAAACTATACTTGAAAAAAAAACAGAATTATTACTTTTCTTACCGTAACAGAGCTACCTCTTTGAAAAAGTATAAAAGAAAAAGCAACCAAAATATGAGTTTTTTAACACTAAAAGTAATTTCTGAATCAGAGAACAGGTAAGATTAGATATGAATCATTGCTTCCAGTCGCATCCCTCGGGTCTACTCTGCACTGACACCTTAGTTAGAATTCTAAACTGCAAACCTGACTATGTCACTTACTCCTCCTCTCTTTACAATCTTTCAATAATTCCCTATCATAAACAGGATTTAAAAAAAAAAAACAGAACCAAAAGGAAAAAGCTACCTAATACAGGTATTGATCGAGTTACGACCTATGCAACTTACAACCATTCGACTTTACGACCACAATCACTAGCCACGACTGCTCCACGTCTGGCAGCGCAAACGTTGCCCAGCTGGGCGTGCGACAGTGCAGACCAGCTTCCGGCAGCACTACCATCTCCGTGTGCATATAGCCTACTCAACTTACGACCAGATCGTGTTACGACCAGTCTGTCGGAACCAATCGTGGTCGTAGGTTGAGCACTAGCTGTAAGACTATTAGAAAGCTATCTAATAAGCCTATATTCCTTAACCTAAAAGAAATCATGCTAAGAGATTTTTAAGTTAACTCCTAAAAATAAATGCTTACTTATAATTTACAACACTGCTTAATACTCATTTTAATTCCCTAATTTTCTCACCAGAAAATTGTAAAATAAATAAAATTCCAAATGCCAGTTTAGGAATAACATCAACACCTTGTGGTGAAGACCCTAAAATATCAAATATAACAATGAGTAAAGTTGCTCCTAATTAAATGGCTATTTACCTGAAAACAAGCCTTAATCCAGAGATTTCCAAGGGTTAAGAAGCAATGGGTCAATTGCTAACCCACATTAAACGTAAATTTGGAAAGAACTGCTAATCTTTCACAACACTGAAATTACCCTAAATTCTTAACTATGGGTCAAAGTATCTGAATAAGATCTTCGGTCACTATCCATCTGAAGGAGCTTTTTTTCTTTCTTTTCTTTTTTCTTTTTTTTTCTGAGATGGGGTCTCACTCTGTCACCCATGCTGGAGTACGGTGGCACAATCTCAGTTCACTGCAACCTCCACCTCCCAGGTTCAAGTGAGTCTCCTGCCTCAGGCTCTTGAGCAGCTAGAACTACAGGCATGTGCCACCACATCTGGTTTATTTTTGTATTTTTAGTAGAGACGAGATTTCACCATGTTGGCCAGGCTGGTCTTGAACTCCTGATCTCAGGTAATCCGCCTGCCTCAGCCTTTCGAAGTGCTGGGATTACAGATGTGAGCCACCATGCCCAGCCTGAAGGAGCTTTTAATACCCTGGTTTTAGGTGCTCCAAAGAGTGCCCATTTTTCTGTGACACTCCCACACGAAAAGTAGAAAGAACAGATGCATCCTAGTGGCCAAACAGCACAATGAAAGTTAATTAACTAGAATATACTCTCAAAAAACAGAATCAGGGCTGGACGCGGTGGTTCGCACCTGTAATCCCAGCACTTTGGGAGGCCGAGGCGGGCAGATCACTTGAGGTCAGGAGTTTGAGACCAGCCTGGCCAACATGGTGAAACACCGTCTCCATTAAAAATACAAAAATTAGCTGGGTGTCGTGGTGCCTGCCTGTAGTCCCATCTACTCAGGAGGCTGAGACAGGAGAATCACTTGAACTCGGGAGATGAGGGTTGCAGTGAGCTGATGTTGCGCCACTGCACTCCAGATGGGGCAACAGTGCAAGACTCTGTCTCAAAAACAAAAACAAAAAACAGAATCAGGAGACTGGGGTTCTAATCACAACTCCAAACAGCATGCAGAATTTTATAGAGCTAAGTGACATTAAAGAATTTAGATGTGTGCTTGCACATAAAATTACAGATCAAATAGGAGAAATTTTATAAACCAAGAAAGCATCAGGAAAAGAAAAGATATATATTTTTTAAATGACTCCATCCAATGGCAATGTTAGAGAGGAAACCATGAACTAGAGTTTAATGCAATAGGTATAAAATTAAGTTTCCTAAAAATCACTTCACATATAGCATGGCAAGCACTAAGGAAGAGAGGATCATTTAATAGAGCAGATGATGGGTACTCTTTACTAATGTCTGAGAGAACAATCACCAAAAGTTCCATCTGACTCACCGACTTTGATAAGAACAATTTAAAGTTTCCAGTTCCAGAACAACACCCTGGGTTCAGTAAATTTGGTTGATAAATTACCACTTAATCTGGCTTAGGAAAAGTATATCTGTGTTATTAGCTAGGCATGAATTATACAATACCGATGAGGAGACCACTATTAATAATGCAGTTCAAATTACTGACACACCTGAAGAATCTGAAAAATACCCTAGATATGAATCCCTCAAGAGCCAAATCATTGAGAGATCAATTTTCAATAACTGAGCAATTCATCCAAATTAGCCTGATGACTTTGCATTTATGTAGGACACTGTGTTTACCAAAAAATTTCCTCAGTCATTATGCCATGTGTATCTTATAACCACCAGTTTAGGAAGGTGAGACTATTAAAAGGATCTACAAAAACATGCTTGTCAGGAAACCTTCAAAGCATCCTTCAGCCTGGCTCTTACTTCTGTGTGCCATCAGATAGATAAAACATTGAATGTCCCTTGGCTATAATCAAGATAAAGGCTATCTATCATCCCTGATGTGGGAAAAACGTTTAAGAGAATAAGACAACAAATGTGAAAATGCTTGAAAATTACACTGCTTCCACTTTTTAGAAGTACCAGAGGTCAAATAAATCAGGATAAATCAAAGATAAAGGCAGGATCAGATTAATCAAAGCATCCTCCATTATACCACACTGCTTCACAAGATCCAACAGTCTTTCTTCAGGTCCCGTTCCACATTATCACAGTGTTTGCTACTCCTTGAAACTATCCTCTTTTAGCAAATATGATGCTACACTATCCCAAATCCTCTTCTTCCTTAGTATTTTTTCTTTTAATCCTACTGTTTTCTCTAATAAGGGCACACAATCTCACATTTAGAACATGTCTTTAAAATAATTGTACCTATACCTCATTTTACTAAGAAAACTGAGATCAAGAAATATTAGCGGCTTACTAACATTTCAAACCATTTCTAGACATTCTTTTTAATACTTAAAACTTAGTGTGTCTCCAACTGAAGAGGCTTTAAAATATGTGTATGTATTGATGCCTCCCACTATCTCCACCCTCTAATTTCTGAACCCTGTGTGTTCTCCTACATATCCTAAGCAGTCAAGGTGTAGACATCTCTCAAGCAAGAACCAAAACTCAGAAAAATGTATATGGTTACTTTAGTCAAAATCATGTTCCTTAAAATGAATGGACACAGTCCATGTGACCAAACTCTATATTATCATGTGTAATAAGATTCAGGCTCACAAAGGAAAGGTCAATTTTGTAATGTTTCTAAAATAACCATTTCTCCAAGCATCCTTCTAGATTCTTCCTCAAGTACATATATAGAGGATGTCTAATGGTCTGAAATGTATTATGTGTCATGTAAACATTAAAAATACTGTCAAAATCAAATTTCAATGAACAATCTGTCTGAGTAGGGTGAACACAGGTTGAGTGTCACTGCTAACTTTATTTGGAATTGCATTTATTTTGGTAGCTTGCCCCCTGGAAAAATATCCTATATGATCTATCACATTTGAAATTAAAGCCAAATTTTAAAATCTTTCAAAATTAAACCCAGACATTATGAAAATATAGAGCTGAGGCCTATAAGCCTCTGAGCATTAGATACATGCAAAGATTTTTTGGCTTGCCAAACATAATTCTTTTAAGACGAAGAACAGGTCAAATCTCAAAGCCATGTTTGGGGCTGCTGAAGGGCTTTCCGAGTGATGCTGTAGCTGTTAAGACTTTGATAAGTTTAACTTTTGCACCTTTGATTGCTGTTCTGTAGGGTACAGAAGACCAGAAAATAGCTAATGTCTGTTTTAAGATCACTGGCTTCCAAATATTCTCTCCCACTGTCCAGAGAAAGGAAATGGTCTTCCAAAGACTTGGTAAAAGAGATAAACTTAAATCACTGTAGCAACAAAATTTATGAGGCTTACACTAAAAAATGCTAAGCTTAAATAACAGGCTCTAAAACTCCCATTAATTTTCTCACATTGAAATGTCACAAACTCAAAATGAGAAAGATTCTTTAGAATTCAAGGCGATCTAAGAAGTTTCTTACCGTAGCAAAGAGAAGACATCATAAGAATTGCGAACACAGTTCTGATCCACCTGCAGAAGAATATTCTTCTGAGCAACTGAATAACCCTGAAAGACATTAATCAACAAATTAATCAAAACCAAACCAAATAAAATCTATGCACAAATTAATCATGTTTGTTTTTTAAAAAATATGACATATTAACAACTGAATAAATCTAAACTTTTAGAGATTCCAAATAGTAAAGTATATTTGCCATATAACAGAAGTCTAACCTTTCAGGCAAGGGAATTTAAAATCAGTTTTGGTGGGGAGATCTGACAAGAGTGGAGAGGGGGTGCACCCAGCCCAGCCCCGAGTCCTGCAGCCTTCCCTCCCACCACAGTGTGGGCCCAGCGATCACTGCCCCAGCCATGGAGCAAGACAATAGCCCCCAGGCCCTGAGGGGGCAGAGCAGATTTGGAGGTGTCACCCTACACTGCCACCCTTGTGCTGATCAGTCATCCCTAAAGAGAGATGAACACAGATCCTTGACCCACTTTGGTAATATCTCCACAGAGACAGATGACAAGGATCACATCCACAATGAGAGGGCTCCAGATGATGGCTGAACAACACCTGGAGCGACAGCAGCATGGAGAGGCGCTTGAGGGAGCTGCTGAGAGCACAGGGGCCCAGGAGACCTGCCCACCTGGGATCACAGACACGGAAGTGGAGTCAGGGCTGGGCACCTTTGGGCCATTACAAGAGCCTGCAGAATCTATCCCCACAACTCAGGAGAGAGGCAGTTAAAAAATGCAGCACAAAGGAACCCTCAACCCTTATACCACCACTGGATTCCCAGAAGCCAGCTCAGCTTGAGAGAAGGAGGTATCCTGGAATCAAGACTGCAGTTTGGGAATGCATGAACACTGGATTTGTTTCTCATGTCTTTACTTTTGGGGAAAATCTCGTTTTAAAAAAAATGGTAAATTTGGGGTTAGGTCAAAAATAAAATAAAATACACTTTTTTCACAGTTTCCCATGGAAACAATGTTTCACATCATAAATCGTGGTGAACCTCCCAAGGAAGCTCCAGAAGTCATTTTAACATATTATGTGACTCAAAAAGAGTATTAACAATAGTATTTCAACAATGCCTAGCCATCATATGTAATGTTTTTATGGGGGAAAGGGCATTCCAAGTTCTGATTAGGAACACCAGAAACAAATATTTCCACTCTGTGGTACAAAAGAGTGAGGATACTTTCTAAAAAGAACTTAGGATAATTCCAGAAGAAGAACAGAATAGGTATCTCTGTCATTTATGAAAGGCAGAGTAGGAGGCTGGTTTGAGTAATGATAAAACTCCAGTCTCCTGCATAACCAGTCTACATGAATTACTCTTTCCCTACTGCAATTCCCCTGTCCTGATAAATCGGCTCTGTCTAGGCAGTGGGCAAGGTGAACCAATTGAGCAGTTACACCACTGTGCTCCAGCCTGGGCGACAAAGTAAGACCCTGTCTCTTAAAAAAAAAACAAACAAAAGGCAGAGTAAACAGTAGTTTAGAAAAAAAGACTCTGGACCCACCAGGATTCTAATTCAAGCCTTCAATACAACCACTGTATAATCTTAAGCAAGGCACCAGAGTGCTCTTAGTTTGACCTTGGTTTCTTCATCAGTAATATGGAGATGGTAACTGCCTCACAAATTGTGGGAATTAAAAGTTAATATCTGTAAAATGAAAGGTGTGTAATAAGCACCATGTACATGTTTGCTATAATGCTAGTAGAAGCATTAAAAGTTATGTCACTACAGACATTAAAAGGGTATTAGGAGAATATTATTACCAACTTTATGCTAATAACTGTGACAACTTAATTAGACAAGTTCCTTGAAAAGAAACACAAAGTGCCCAGACGCCCTATGAAACATCTAAATAGCCCCATATCTACTTTTTTAGTGAATAAGCAATTGAAAATCTTCCCACATACACACAAAAAATCCATGTCCAAATGGTCTCACTGATGAATTTCATCAAACATTCAAGAAAGAAATAATATCCACTTTACACAAACTCCTTCAGAAACTGGAAAAGGGAACAATTTACAACTTATAAAACTGGGATCACTGATGCCAAAACTGTTAGATAGAGACAACACACACACACACACACACACACACACACACACACACACACACACACAGAGGAAATTATACAACAATATCCCTCATGAACAGAAACACAAAAATCCTTAGCAAAATATCAGCAAATTGAACCAGCAATACATTATGAAGATTAAAAAGGACACAGTATTAACCGGATATAGCCTAAGAAAGTCTAGTTAATTTACCTTTTAAAAAACAATCAACTAGACAAATACATGAAACAATTCTTATAAATCTATCTTGATGGGCAAATCATTAAAAAGATGCAATGTGAAAACAATAACATAAAGGTGGGGGAACAGAGCTATACAGAAGCAAAGCTTTTTAAAGTATTAAAACTAAGTTGGTATTAATTCAAACTAGGCTGTTATAAATTAAAGAAGCTTGTTCTTTAAAAAGACCCAACTTTGACAAATCTTTTTTTTTTTTTTTTTTTGAAACAAGTCTGATTCTGTCACCCAGGCTAGAGAGTAGTGGCGCAATCACAGTTCACTGCTGCCTGGACCTCCTGGACTGAAGCCATCCTCTTGCCTCAGCCACTTGAGTAGCTGGAATTACAGGCGTGCACCACCACGCCCAGCTAATTTTTGTATTTTTTTGTAGAGATGGGGTTTCTCCATGTTGCCCAGACTGACCTCAAATTCCTGGGCTCATGAAATCCTCCCACCTCAGCCTTTCGGTTAGCTGCAACTACAGGCATGCACTACCATGCCCAGCTAATATTTATTTTTTATAGAGAGGGGGGATGTTACTATGTTGCCCAGGCTGGTCTTGAACTCCTGGATGGAAGCTATCCTCCTACCTTAGCCTCCCAAAGTGTTGAGATTCCAGGCATGAGCCACTGCACCTGGCTCATTGACAAATCTTAAGGTAAACTAGCTAAAGAGAAAAGAAAGAAGACTCAAATCACTAAATTCAGGACAGAAGTGGGAAAGTTATTACCAACCTTACAGAAATAAAAAGGATAATAACAGAATATAATAAACAATTAATTGTATGCCAACAAATCAGACAGCCTAGACAAAACGATACACAAACTACTAAAAATGGCTCAAGAAGAAACAGAAAACCTGAACAGACCTATAACAGATAACGAGGTAGATAGAATTTGTAATCACAAAACTCTCACAGAAAAAAAAAAAAAAAAAAAGCCCAGAACCACATTATTTGACTGGTGAATTCTACCAATTATTTAACACCAATCCTTCTCAAAGTCTTCAAAAACCATAAAAGCAAGGAAACACTTCTTAAGTTATTCTCTGACACCAATACTATCCTGATACCAAAGCCAGATAAAAAAGTCACAAGAAAACTATAGACCAATATCCTTTATGAATATAGAAATAAAAATCGTCAACAAAATACTACTAAAACTGATCTAGCGGCATATTAAAAGAATTATAACCCACAATCTGGCAACTATTTCTGGATATATATACCCCCAAAAAGTGAAAGCAAGGATGGGAAGCGCCATTTGTATATCGATATTCATAGCAGCGTTATTCACAATAGCGAAAGGGTGGAAGCAACCCAAGTATCCACAGTGAGGTGATGGATAAACAAAACATGGTATAGTCGCACAATGAAATATGATTCAGCATTAAAATGGAAGGAAATTCTGACACATGCTAAAACACTGATGAAGCTTGAGGACATTATATTAAGTGAAATAAGCCAATCAAAGGAAAACTATTACATGATTCCATTTATATGAGGTACCTAGAGTAGTCAAATTCATAGAAACAGAAAGTTGAAGGGTAACTGGCAGGGACCAGGGGAGAGGGGAAAATGACGAATTCTTGTTTAATAGAGAGTTCCAGTTTTGCAAGGTGAAAAGTTTTGCAAGGTGAAATACATGGATAGTGGCAATGGTTGCACAACAATGTGAATGTACCTAATGCCACTTAACTGTACACTTAGAATGGTTAAGATGGTAAATTTTATGTATTTGTAATTTACCACAAAAAAATTTTTAAAAAGATTGTACACCATGAACAGGTGAAATTCATACAGGGTATGTGAGGGAGTTTCAATATATAAAAACCAATCAGGCTGGGCACCTATAATCCCAGCACTATGGGAGGCCCAGGCAGGAGGATCACTAGAGCCCAGGAGTTAGAGACCAGTCTGGGCAGCATAGTGAGATACTATCTCTACAAAAAAATTTTTTTAAGAAAGAAATTGGCTGGGCATGGTGGTGCATGCCTGTTGTCCAAGCTACTCAGGAGGCTAAGGTGGGAGGATCACCTGATCCCAGGAGTTTTAGGGTGCAGTGGGCCATGATTGTACCACTGCATTCCAGCCTAAGTGACAGAGGAAGACTCTGTCAAAAAAAAAAAAAAAAAAGAAAAGAAAAGAAAGAAGAAAGGAATAATCAATGTAATACACCACAATACACAGTCATCTCAGTTGATGCAGAAAAGCATTTGACAAATTTCATCACCTTTACATGATTTTAAAAAAATTCAACAAACTACGAATAGAAAGGAATTTCCCAGCCCTGATAGAGGGCATCTGCAAAAAACCTACAGCTAACATCATGCTCAAGGTAAAAGACTCAAAGTCTTCCCGAATATAAAAAACAAGAAAGACAAGGTGATTGCTCTTCTACTCAACATTTGTAATCTAAGTTCCAGACAGGACAATTAGCCAAGAAAAATAAATAAACTGTATTCCAACCAAAACATAAAAAATGGCATCCCATGTTCACGGATTTAAAGACTTAATATTGCCAACATAGCAATAATACCCAAAGCAATCTAGATATTCAATGCCATTCAAAATTCCGGGAGCCTTGTTTACAGAAATGGAAAAGCCAATTCTCAAATTCATATGGAATTGCAAGGGGCCAAAACACAGCCAAAATTATATTGAAGAGAACAAAGTTAGAAAATTCACACATACTAATTTCAACTTAATACAAAGCAATGACAGTCAAAACAGGATAGCACTGACAC